CGCATCAGTTTGAAAACAGGCATTGCCAAAAATGCTATTCATTTCTGTTGGTTCTTTTAAATTTTGAAAATGAACTGTATGTTAATAAACACTGACTTTATAATCATTCAGTGTGTATCCAAGTTTTGGCGACTATGAACAGTTATTATAAACATCAAAAACCTAAACAAAAAAACAACAAAGTGTGTAACATTTAACAACTATATTAGGCTTCTTAAATAAGGGGAACATGCTATTAATCAAATATTGCTCTATGTAAGATATGCATATGTGGTCCATAGTTTGAGATAATCCATTTTTTTGTAGTCATTTTAAGTGATACATATTCCAGTTTCTCTAATTTTGCTTTATATTCTCTTAAAAAAAATGTAAGCAAAAATACAGTTTAGAATTGAGCATTATTATCCCAAATAGAGGCCTGGTGCATGAATTTGTGCACCAGTGGGGTCCCTTGGCTTGGCCTGTGGGATTGGGCCAAAACCAGTTCTCCGATATCCCCCGAGGGGTCCCGGATTGCGAGAGGGCACAGCCCAGGCCAAGGGACCCCATAGGTGCATGATCGGGGTTGGGGAGGGACCACTGCTAATTAGGCCAGACAACTGGAAGGAACCACGGGAAGGCTCCAGGGAAGGCTCCAGGGTGTATCCAGCCCATCTCGCTCAGTACTGGTTGGCCAGACCCCAGCAGCAAGCTAACCTACCAGTTGGAGCATCTACCCCCTGGTGGTCAGTGCACATCCTAGCAACTGGTTGGCCCGCAGACTGTCTCCCCCCTGGTGGTCAGTGCACGTCATGGCGAGCAGTTGAGCTGCCTTAGCATATCATTAGCATATAACGCTTTGATTGGTTGAACAGCCGACCTGCCGACAGGACACTTAGCATGGGCTTTTATTATATAGGATGTATCTGGGATTTCACCAACAAAACACCTCAATTTGTGTGGTATTCTGGGCATGAAAGATTGTTTTTTACAGATCAAATTTCAATCATGACAATATTTGAACAACGTTACTAATTAAGATAACTTTTCTGAATCTTGCTTAAAATACATCATAATAAAAGTATAAAGAATAACAACACGCCCATGGACCACAGATCAGCTTAAAATATAAAACATTACAAGTGTATTTGGAACCCAGATCTATACTTTTCTCCCTCTCCATTCTTTTTTCTTTTTTTTTAAATATATTTTATTGATTTTTACAGAGAGGAAGGGAGAGAGATAGAGAGTTAGAAACATCAATAAGAGAGAAACATTGATCAGCTGCCTCCTGCACATCTCCTACTGGGGATGTGCCCGCAACCCAGGTACATGCCCTTGACCGGAATCGAACCTGGGACCTTTCAGTCCGCAGGCTGACGCTCTATCCACTGAGCCAAACCGGTTTCGGCTCCCTCTCTATTCTTTTAAATTTAGTTTATCATAACTTTAGACATTCCTCTGTCTTTATACTTTTCTTTTACTACATATGTATGAATATTTAAACAACATATACTATTGTTTTTTATGTCATAAATGACATTATTCTGATTCTAGTTTTCTTCTTTGCTTAATTTTTTGTTTGTGAGACTTTTCAGGGTTGAAAAGCCTAAAGTGGCTCTAAAATACTTACACTGCTGTATAATATTCCATTGTAAGAAATTTAGTCTGATGATAGATCTTTGGGTGTTTTAATTTTTTTGCTTTTACACTGTTGCTCTTATGATTCTTGTATCTGTACATGTCATCTTAGCACATTTGTAAGAGCTTTTGTAGGGTTTAAAACTACTGATGGCCACTTCAGGGTTACATGTATTGAAGATATGATTTCTTGGCTGCTATTTAAAATTTTTAGAACTTTTTCTGGAAATTTAAAATATCTTTTTTATACTGATAACTGTGGTGAAATGCAGATCTTAAAGAGGTTATACACAACAGGGTTTCTCCTTTACAGCTGAGGCAGGAGACTGCTATCCAAGTGGCCATCCAGGAGCAACCCTGTACTAGGAAGGATGTGATGTCCTCTTTCCCCCATGGACTTTTAGGAGGCACAACCATTTCAAAATGTCCCTCTGAAATCATGTTTAGAACTTTTTGCTCTCTCCATCTCTGTCTCATTTTTTTTATTTCCCTGTGTCTCCTGTTTCCCTGTGATAACCCCCAGAAACTGTTACCACAGAGTTTTTGCTTGAGGCTCTGCTTTCTAATCTAGGCTAAAAGAAACATTTTGGCCATAACCGGTTTGGCTCAGTGGATAGAGCATTGGCCTGCAGACTGAAAGGTCCCAGGTTCGATTCCGGTCAAGGGCATGTACCTGGGTTGGGGGCACATCCCCAGTAGGAGGTGTGCAGGAGGCAGCTGATCGATGTTTCTTTCTCATTGATGTTTCTAGCTCTCTCCCTTCCTCTCTGTAAAAAAATCAATAAAATATATTTAAAAAAAAATTTTAGATCATGTGAAGTCTCATGAATGACCATGCTGTAAATGGATTTTGTCTCTAGGTTTCATTGCACTAATTGGTATTTGTATAGAAATAAATGTAATTTTCTCAGATAATTAGAAAACGAAAGAGGCAAACATAATATATACATGACTTATTTATTAAACCAAGAGAAGGCCAGTGGACCTCCTCAGCAAACGATAGGAAAACTTTCCAGGGGCTTGAATGTGGAAAGGGAGAGAACTGAATCAACCCATAACATGCAATAATAGAGGCTGTTAGTCAAAAGAGCCTGCCTTGCAACAGTCAGAGCCACAAGAGAATTGTTTCACCCAAACACCACAGTTTATCATGTTTAAATTTCATGTAATAATTTTAAACTTCATTGGCATTGTTTGTTTTAGAGAAAGTATAAGCTTCAGGAGTTAAACTAAACTTAGGTTGGATTTGGATACCTTTTAGAACATTATAATAAAAATAATTATGTCAACACTTGTGGGATGTCCCTGGTTTTCATTTTAAAAAGGTTCCTTATTTTCCAAAGTCTGAGAAACTGTGTTTTGTTTTGAAAGTTATTTTTATTGATTTCAGGGGAGGGGGGGTGGAGAGAGAGAGAGGAAGAGAGAGAGAGAGAGAGAGAAATCAATGATGAGATAAAATCATTGGTTGGCTGCCTCCTGCACGCCCCCAACTGAGAATCAAACGGGGACCCTTCAGTCCGCAGGCCTATGCTCTAGCCATTGAGCAAAACCGACTAGGGTGAGAAACTGCGTTTCATATTTTTTCCATAGTAGATATCTCTGTTATCTCGGGGCTCCGCTTGCCAGAATCTCTCTCCAGATGGCCAGGGCGGGCACTTGGAGCTGCTTTACAGGCCCTTGGCTTTCATCACCGTGTGGGTAGAGGCGGTGAACGGTTCAAATCGAGACTGTAGTGCATTTCCCTTAGCCAGCCCCAGGCTCACTGGCTTCCAGATGCTCTCAATCGCTCAGGCTTTCCCCTTTGCAAACTCAGGTCCGCACCCACAGATCCCGCTCCCTCGGCTCCGCGGCCACCCCTCCACCCGCCTCCCTCCTCCAGAGCTGTTTCCCGATCTTGCCTGATGATAGCCATTTGTTTAAAACGCAGACTTCCACACTTTCTCTAGAAATTCTAGATGTCTAGAGAGA